TGAGCTCCCAAGCCGCCTCCCCCACAGAGGGATATATCTGGGAGGACTAACCGCCTGGGGACATGGGCCTAGTCCCCTCTCAAGCCTTAAGCAACAGCATGGGGAAGGTCAGGGTGGGGAGAGGCAGATCAGGAGTCCTGGTCCAAAACCCAAGATTCCTAGGCAAGACCTTTGCATTTAAGGGTTTTGTTTTGTTTTAATTAAAGCAAGTCTTTAAGATGATAATAAAACAGCTCTTTATATTTCCTCCAGAAAGACAGTTATTCTTCCTTCTCGTGGAGAAGGAAATAAAATCTCTCATCTCTTCATGGCGCCCAAACCCAAGGGTATAATCGCCTGGCCGGGGACACGGTGGTATCCGGGTGAGAATGTGCTTGGACATTGCCCAAGTCTCAGCCTGGGGTGCCCAGAGAGAAGCTCTTCAAGCCCCCAAAGTGGCTGGTCAGACAGGACACTGGGCTCAGGATGGCGGTGCCACTGGGCTGTGGTTTCTGGGGACTTTCTGGGCTCTGCACCTCTGTCTTGGGGGGAAATTGCAGTGCATGTACAAAGGCCGCCGCTGTTTTCAAAGGCTCAGTCTCCCTCACTGCTCCCTTCCTGTTTGGTTTGGTGCGGGTATTTCCCCCCTCCTTCAGTCCATCCCAGTGACCAGTTCGCCCTGACCTGGGTGACAGCGTCTCTGCCCTGTCCTGAGCTGTTGGTCCAATGGGTTTCCTCAGTGCTTCCTAAAGAAGAACCTAGGGACGAATCCGGCCCAGTGGTCACACAGGGGAAGCCATTGTCCACCCTACCTAGACCCCTCACTTCCTGGTCCCATAAGTATGCAACTTCTTCCAAGCAGGTGCACACACACAGACACACACACACACCGCCCTCCTGATGGCTTCATTCAGCCATCGGTCCCAGCCCCAGGCCCTGAAATAGAAACAAGAAGCTAGGCGCACCACCCCCTCCCGAGCCTGCTCGGAGCCCCAGCAGGTTTTGAGGTTGGGGAGGCCAACTGGCAGACAGGGGGGCCTTTCAGTGGCCTCAGCCTGCAGCTGACACCAATTGATTGATTGATTTCCTAATTGTCTGCTTAATCCTGTACAAGAGGGGAGGTTTATTATTTAAGCAAGTCAACTCAAAAACAACTAAACAAAGCGGCCTCCCAAGAACCCGAGGCAGCTGAAGAGTAGAACACAAAAACAAACCAGAAAAATGGAGAGAGAGAGACCGAAGAGGAGCTTGCACTGTGTGAGAATTTTGCTTAAAAGAGATACCAGCCGGGAGCTACTATGTACAACGACCAACCCGTGGTCACCTGAGGGCCGAAGCTGCTTCCACCATTTTCCAGCCCAGGGGTGAGCAGAAGGAACCTGAGCAAGTTGGATTCACACGGAGAAAACCACTGAGGGAGGCCGATCAACAGCCCCATCAAGGAGTCTCCACCGTGTGGTGTGGTGTGGTGTGTGTGTGTGTGTGTGTGTGTGGTGTAACTACCCGCTGGTTCATGAGAACCTCAGACATTGGTTTCAGAGAGGCAAAGGCCCCTGGCATGGATTTCAGAGGAAGCCCCGGCTTTCTCCAGCAAGTGTGGAATTGTCTCATTCCATCACCCTCTCCTCCTCCCCTGAACAAAAATCAGAGCTTTACTCACCCCGTGTAAACCTCTGTGTGTTGGTATACAAATATGTGTGCGTGCCACCGCGTGTGCAAATTCATCGCTGTTTCCAGAAATAGGGTGGGGAGGGAACCCAGGCAATACTGTGAATGCTTTGAGCTAGGCGAGCATTTGCAAAGTGATGGTTGGCCAACACGGGAAAGGAAGGTGACTGTGTGGTCTCCTTGGTAATCAAGGCAAACCTAGAAGATGCCCTACCCTGAGCAAGGAGCCTGGCACTGCCAGACACAGCCTCTCCTAGTGCCCCAAAGACACCTCTATTCTCCCCCACTCCCACCCCAGGAAGATGCACTAGCTTGTGTTTGAAGTGACTTGGTCCTACACAAGCCTCATAGTCACCCCGGGACTCAATCAAGTATCCACAGAATTCGCTGGGCCCCGGCCGAAGCTGCCCACTGACAGCTGTTGGGAACAACTTCTGGACAGCGTCTAGGCTGTTAGGTGGGATGGCCTAGGCAGCCTCCCTCCCTCCCTCCTGGGGCATGGGGAGCTCTCTATCGCATCGGGGCTTCAGGATGCGAAAGGAGCCCCAAGAAAGACACTTAAACAGAAGGAAGGAGGATGGCATCTGGCCCTGCTGCTGCTCCTAAGTCCAGCAAAGGCCATCACTATCAAGCCAGAGGCTTAGAGGCTGAGGCCAGAGGGCACCAGAGCCAGCTGTTTAGTCCCGGCCTGGCACATTTGAAGCCCCAGGAGTAAGTGACCGACCATTCAGAGCTCAGATTGCCACCTCTGAGGCCTCCGTGTGGGAGGACTGCCCTCTGTTGGTCCCTGAGCTGGGACATGGCAGCAGACGCCAGGGCCACCTCAGGCTGCAGACAAACCAACTTCCAGTAGGCTCCTCTTGGGTGCCGGCTAGGGCGGAGGCAACTTTAACTTCCAAAGGAAGCAGCCCTCCCACACACACATGCACACAGGCACATGCACACCGACCGCCCCCGCTTCCTCTCCATCGACCACCCACCCATTCGCACGGCCACGCTCAGAAATTCACCTCTGTCCTGTCTCTCCCCTGTCACACTCATCATTATCCACCAACAGCCTTGCCAACACCCAGGGCCACAGCGCGCCAGTGTTTTGACAGTCCGACAGCAGCCTCCGGTCGCTGGCACTGAGCTCTCAGGAGCCACCCGATACTGGGCAGGTGAATAGGTGGGGAAAGCAGCCCCGCTCGCCCTCTGTAGTATCGATGAGAGGTGCCCTTCTCTCAGGATTTCCAAGCACTTACCCCACAAACCGCTTGCCAGACCCAGCCCTGCCCGTCATTGTCCCGGCTCCTCCCAGATCCCGCTGCTCCGTTCAGATTATTAAAGTGAGGCTGGGTGTTTGTATGTATGTGTGATCTTATTTTTTAAACACACACCCCCACACATACATATGCGTGTGTATATACAAACACACACGGCAATTAGATCTCTCCGCTCCTTCCTGCCACCATCCATCTCGGGCGGCAGAACCTCAGCAATGCCCATGCACCCACATCGCCACACGCAGGAGCCCTGCATGGCATCAGTGCCTCTCTCTCTCTCTCTTTCTCACTCTTTCTCTCTCCTCTCTCTCAAACACACACACACACACACACACACACAGTAACACATTGACACTGTTACACCCACCCCTAGCTCCCCATTGTTTCTCCAGGGCCATGACCCACCTGCCACCACCCACC